GAACGCAGGGCGACGTACGGCTCTATGAGAATTTGCGATCAGCATTTTGCCGGAGGAACAAGGTGGGAGAAACATAAATAAATAAATAACGACATCAAGTGAGCACGCAGCGCCGAGCGGCAGTGACTAATGAAGCTTGGACGTGAACGACAGTGGCGCTTTGCCCTGGATTCAATTAACTGGCAGGATGTATTAATAAATAAATCCCGGAAAGTACATCTTGTTCTTTCGCACAGTTGTTCTCTCATCGTATGGGGAACATTCACGCTGAGAGTGACAGCTGACGCCTGCCATCATTCAACCGTTCCCTGGTTTAACAATTACTAGCTCTGGCCCACTTGCCACCACGTCCGTTCGTTATCTCTCTTGGCTGGGCGATTTTTTTTATCGGCCGAATGTTTTTCTTCTTCTTTTCTCTGCACGCTATCCAGTTTTATTGTGGCCGATGGTTGAGACTAATGATGGAATCGCAACCAAAGGAGGGAACCTGCCTAAGTGTCTGACCACCGCCTAGATGGAGCAGGGAAATCAGCTCACGTGCCGTGGCACGAGATGGATTTTTACTACATGGCAGGACCGTGAGAGATGGTATATATGTATCTATGTTGAACTTATTTCGCACTGTCCGTAGCCAACCGTGCTAAGTGGAGGTGCGGGGGAAGGACAACAAACTAAACACAACAACAGGCAGTCCTTAAGAAATACATTTTCAATGGGAGCAGTGGCTTGTGAAGGCCTTCATCCAGCAGTGGATCGATCAAGGCTGATGATGACAGTGATGATGAATTAGTCATGCGTAATATTAATTACTTGGTTAACCTAGAGTAGCCTCATTGAGTATGACTTCTCAACGTCAGTTCCTGCTCAACTGAGCATTGAGGGGGGTGCTCATAACCTCTTTACAACCCTAAGTCAAGCAGTGCAAATTCCACATTATTATGGTGGGGCCGAATCTATCCATTAGACAACCACTATTGACCTCCCCACATAGCGGTAATCATTTTTATCGAACTCCGGAGGAATGATCGGCTTCTTCAACCCACGAACCAGGAATTGAACTCGCAACCTAATGGTTGCAAGCCGCTTTTCTCTGCCGCTGAGCCACCATTGTCACAGGAGAGCCCTTGCTCTAGCGATAATTTTCCATCTCCTTCGGTGGAGTAATCGTGGGAAGGGGAATCGCCAATAGAAATCCACGTGGATGCGTTCTAATGATCTGCGTTGTGCTTCGCTGCCTTGGATCCGTGAGCCTTAGGCCTGTTCACTGAGCAAATCCTCGCCTTTTTCTTTGCTTGCAATCATTGCTACTGCGTCGTCGTCAATTAATTGTGCTCTCGGGGCGATCGTGAGAAGGCGATGAAATTCACATTCAAAACTTTTCCGCAAAGCGGAGCGGATAACCGCGTGTCGAAGACGATATTACTGGGACATGTCTGAGTTCTCGAATTGCTTCTGATCCCCCATCCAATGCCCTGCTGTAAAAGTGTTGATTCATTTATTTATCCAGGAGAGCTACACTGAGTCCAAGGACTCTTTTCAAGAGGATCCTGCTGCATTGGCTTTTTTTTATTTCAACCGGTTAAAGATGAGTTGTGTTTATTATTATACGTGTGGGAGGAAACCGGAGTACCTGGAGAAAACCGACGCCTTTCGCAAGGGACGCAACACTCAATCCCCATACGAATGGAAACAGATGGCAATGAGTCCACTTGCTCTACGGCCTACTACTGGCGAGCCAGCGGTATGGCACCTCTGCACTCGCGGGAAAGGAGTTTCACAACCCTCGCTGCGTCCACAGCGCAGAATCACAGGCCACGTGCATAGTCTCGACTGGCAGTCGAAGCAAATTCGTTTTTATTTCTCAGAGCAGACACATGTCAGGTTGACTGAAAATCTAGTTTCATATGATGGTGACCGAGCTGAGACCATCAGCTCACTACGCTTGAGAACCCGGTTTAATCATGAGTGACCAAAAAACCTGGATTCAAACCCAGGTCCTCGGTGGTGCCGGCTCAACGCCCCGACACAGCATCGTGCACCCGAGTAACCTCATCACGGCTGCGCTGAATCAACGATGGGGCATTGCGCTGGCGAGATGTTAACTCCCTCGCCTGGTATGAAGGAGGTTGTGGGTTCGACACCGACCCCGGCGTCTGTATATGTGGATTTTGCATGTTCTCCCCATAGTCGCGTGGATTTTTCTCCACATTAAGAAACATACGTTTAGAGGATTTGGATGCTATAAATTTGCGCGTAATAAGCTACTTCGTTGACTATAATTTGGGGCCAGGTCGCTTCTGAAAAAGAGCTGTATAGTTCAGTGGGCCTTATCTGGTCAAATAAAAATAGACGGGAACAATCGCCCCGTTGTTGTACACGTGAATGTGGGCTGGTGCTCTCTCGTTTCTGGGGGTGGATTGTCCAAACTTTGTTCCCTCAATATTCACCAGACTTGTGCAATGGCACCACCTGGTGGCCTGCGCTTTCAAGCCGTCCCCCTCCGCCACCCCGTGGCGGTATGCGAGCCTCTCCTTAAAACAAAACTTTATTTTTACAGGTAAGGCTCACTGAGCTATGTAGCTCTTTTTCACGAGCGACTTGGCGAAAATTGATAGCTCAACGAAAGCGGCTTGTCGTGTAGAAATTTATAGCAGCCAAATACTCTGAACGCACATTGATTCCAAACATGGAGTGAAAAATCTGCATTGACTTTATCTGTGTGAATAGAGCCAATTCAAATTAAGATGGAGATCTCGGTGTCTGTTTGTGTGTACACATGTGACGTGTGTGTACGTGTGTTCCACATGACACGGCGTTAATTGCTTAGTGCGTCATGTGGGACACGTTTAACAATCATTGGGCATGTGCAGGGTGGAAAGAGTCAATTTTATTAGAATGGGGAGGAGTAAATTGGTAAGCGCGGAGAGAATTAGCTTGGTGGTGGCGGGTCGCAAGGAGTGGAGTTTGGCAAACCCTGCCGTAGTTTCCACCGCAGTGGTTTCGGTGACCCCCTCCCTCCCGCTGAGCGAATATGAACCTCCTCCTCTGCTGAGATTTACGAGCGCCGCTCTCTCGCGTTAAAACCGCGACACACTCTCTGTCGGCGACGCGGGGTCACTGCAGCGATTTGAGCCGAGCTGACCTCACGGTGGGCGGTTCGTCTCGTGCGCGAAAATGAACGTCCTGAGATTTACGGCCACTCGCCGCCGGCACTGGATGGAACATCCCCACCCCTGAGACACCGCCCGCTCAGGGATTCATTTCAGGCGGGTCTGTCTGTGCCTGGTGACCCGGGAAATATTTACACAGTCGGTACACCACGTCGGGTAATTTCTCTCACTACGGCCGTGGCCGCCTCTCGTCTTGTGCCGCTTAGGCTAGCCTACCAGCGACACGGGAAATATTGTCGGTGATAAATCGCGCCCTGGGGTGCGCTCGTTCGTAAATTGCTGCCGTCTCCGATTGTGATCAGGAGGGCGGAGATGGAGAGGGAGTGGCTGCGTTGAGTGAGACGGAGCTCGCGATGATGGAGTGCCCGGGCCCTCTGTGACTTCACTCAGCTCAGCACAACCACGTAGCTCACGTAAGTCAGGGTTTTCAAACCATAATGAACTGGTGGCCACCTGTCAGAGGCATTAACTGGTATGGTAAGCCACCTAAAATATGATTTTCCTTTTATTGCAATGCTTTAGTGTAGATGCCCTTGTGTGATGCCACCGAGTGTCCCAGGAGCATCACGACTCATTCATTGAAAGTACGCGCGTCTTACAAGGCACCGCTGAATTGCACATTTCTCAAGTTAATTGCACTGTATTCATTTCCTGGCTCAAGGAAACACAAGGTGGGTTAAGTATTGTGCCCACAGAATTAGCAAGGCAGTTTTACTTTCAAAAAGCCACGCCACAAACATATGTAGAAATATTTTTTGTTCAAACATTTACATCTACACGATGATCTAAACCCAAACAAACTAATTAAGAGTCATAATATTAGTCGTGAAAGCCGACAAATATATTTGTATATGTCATATTCTTAGGTTTTTTCGGTAAAATCACGTAGGTAAAATATTAAAATTAATAAAAATAAAATAAAAGTTAAATTATTTTATTTTATTTTTTACCTACGTGGCTTTACCGAAAAAACCTAGGCATATGAATCCTTGCAGTCACGAAAGCTTCAAATCTTGAATTGTATATGTCAGTTGCTAATGCAGTGGCAGATAAAGGTCTCTGACACCATGTCAGTTGTGGCGGTTGTATGACCATACTGGTCTCAGAGTGGGTTTATGAGTTGGGGGCCTGGACCGGTTTAGATATCACTCGCCACTGATTTTAGCCGTGGCTGGGAATCTTAACACGGATTCCTGGGTTCATGAAGCAGTGCACGAACCTCCATGCCACCGCTCCCCCCACCAAAGTGACCACGAAATAAAAATTATCTCCAATCCTGATCGCAACTGCATGGTATCCTCTCCAACCCCCTCAGTGATTGCAACTGCATGGATCGCAACTGCATGGTATCTCATCACAAACACAAGGCATTGGGAATTTGCACCGTGTGGAATTTGGGGAGAGTGTCAGTTGCCCCTAATCACAGGGTAAATTAAAATTGGACCATACTCAAATAATTCTGTCTCCCTTTGCAGTAAATCCTCTCCACCCCCCTCAGTAAAAAATAAAAAAATATTTTCTATTTCTCATGCTCACAGTTCAGGAATTCGCGGGCAAAATCACGCCACCGCAGCGGCACGTTATGTAACGATCGTGCATCGGCATGCGCACCCCGCCAAAAATGAAATCAAAGAAACGACTCCCGATCAAAACAAGGATGAGAATTTTTTTTTGCAACCGTAGAGCGGGGGGCGGGGGGGGGGGAGCGATTTCAGATGGGGATGCAGGAGTGGCTGGCCGGGTGCCAGAGCCGACTGCCACTGCCGTATAAAACCTGGCGCGCGATGGTGGGTGCGAGAAAGCGCGGCACACGCGTGTGGCACTGGCGCGATGGAACCTCCGCTGCTCAAGCGGCTGGCGCGCTGGCTGTTGGTGGTGCCGCGCTTCCTCGCGTCGGCCCTGGCGCTCTGCCTGCTCGACCTGCCGTGCGTGCGGCGGCGAGCGATGCGCTCGCTGGCCGAGGAGGCGCGCCGCTCCGGCACGGCCGACACCGACCCGCCGTGGCGTATCTCCGACTCGGAGCGCACGTTCACGCGGGCCTCGCTCGCCGCCGTGTGGCGCGGCCACGTCCTCGACGCGTTCAAGGAGGCGTGGGCAGGCGGGCTCGCGCCCAACACGCCCGTCGAGCGATTGGACGGCGGCGGCCCGAGCGACGGCGCAAGTGGCGGCGGCGGGGATGGCGGCGGCGACGCCGGCAGCACCAGCGCGCGCGTTCTGGACTTTGCGCACGGCTCACGGCCGCTCGTGCTGAGCTTTGGCAGCGGCAGCTGACCGCCGTTCATGGCGCGGCTGGGCGCGTTCGGGCGGCTGGCGCGGGAGTTCAGGCCCGCCGCCGACTTCCTGCTGGTGTACGTGGAGGAGGCCCACCCGCTCGACGGGTGGAGCACCGGCGACGCCCCGTTCCAGCTGCCGCGCCACCGCAGCCTGCCCGAGCGTCTGGAGGCCGCGCACCGCCTGGCGGGCCTGCTGGGCCCCGCGTGCCCCGTGGTGGCCGACACGATGCGTAACGAGACGATGGCGGCGTACGGCACCGCCTTCCTGCGCCTCTACATCCTGCAGGCCGGCGTCGTCGTTTACAAGGGCCCCAGCGGGCCCGAGGGGTACCGGCTGAGCGAGGTGCAAGCTTGGCTCAGAGACTTTACCGCGCGGCAGCAGCAGCAGCGGCAGCAGCAGCTGTGCTCGTTACTCAGCGTTTAAAAGCGCCGTCAGAGTGCAGGCACCTGCCTTGGGGGTCGGTGTCGAGGTCACAGTTTTGTAAATCTTGCTCAGCGGTGAATATTTTTTCTTCTTTTTTACTAAGAGAATAAGTGCAGTAAATACTGTTGTTGCCTTAAGGGGATCTGTAACAGTTTACATCGACGTCCACTGCTCTTGGAAAGAGGAAAAACGAAATTTGCAATTGGAATATCGGAGGGCGATAACACATAGGCAATTGTACCAAGAGATGATGTAGAAAATCTGTATAGTGTTGAAGTTATTTCTTTTTACAATTAACACTGCCTAAGAACAGAATTTAAAAAATGTATGCAGCCTCACGCTATACATTGTTTCTGTTATAAGACATTGTTAATGATAAGCTGGTCCGCACCTCCGATTAGCACGGTTGGCTACGTATGGTGCAAAAGAAGTTCAACATACACAATATTATTGTTTGCGCACAAATTAACGTTCACAGTTAGTGGAACACGAGACAAATTATATCTCACGTTTCCTCAATTTCACCGTGATAAATTAGTGTAAATGATGGACTGTGAGATTTGCCGAGCATACTTATATTTACACAGTCGCATAACCTAACGAACACATAGCATAGGCCCCGTTCATTTATCTATTTTGTATCTCTGCACATTAACGGTGCCTTACTACAGAAATTAACATCAAATGACTTAAACGCCTTCACTGTGATGGTTTTTTTGAAGACGCAAAGCCCCAGTTTACGTGCGATTAAAGTAAACACGATGTTATCTCTCAACCGTGTTCATAAAAACAGTTGGGTAAAAAAAAAAGATTTGTCTCCCAATGCATTCAGTTTATTTCTCAGAAACGGATTATTTATTGGCAACAATTTATTTGCAGTGCAAATACGATAGTTGTTTGTGCCAAACTTCGGGATTTTTTTTTTTACTTTTTGTTTTGCGCACATTCAACGCTGCCTTATAAATGGAACATGACGACGAACGCTCTCATTTGTATTTAGTCCTTGCTGTTTGTTAGTCTGCACACATTTTTTTAGATGACGCGCAATTACGATGGAGAGTCGACGCAAAAACCTTAGCTGCGCGTAAAACAAAAACTGAAGACAATCGTCAGTAACATTGCCCTAAAGAGGGGGAAAAATGTAACGTGACATTTCGGACAATGGGCCTACTTTCGCATCCATCGCTACATTTGGTCTCCGCGTCCTTCTTAGCGGGCAAGGTTGTCGTGAGGGCGCCGTGTTTCACAGGCGATTGTAATGGAAGACAGGCCATTGCCTGAAACGTCAACCTGTTAATCACGATTCAAATTTATACGGCGCCCTTGAACAATCGGATCTCGGAGTGCTGCAGGTGTAAAGGATGAAAATCGGTAACCAGGGAGAGAAATACTGAAGAGACTAGATAGAGTACGAGAGAGAGGAGGCCTGGAACTTTAAACATCATTAGCGACTGCGAGTTCCGATCCTCCCGAGGGTGGGGGCATTCCAGAGGCTGGGCGCTGTACAGACAAAAAGCCCGGCGGTCATCCCAGGTTCCAATCCCGGAGAGCGCGGTCATCACGCCGAGTCGGGGCACGATGTTATTATCCTTAGAGGGGCAGTGTTGTTCACGTGTTTAGTTTTTACGTTTTTTGTGCTCGTGCACTACTGACCACGTAGTATGTATGTACGTTGAACTTCTTTTCGCGCCGTACGTTTGCTGACCGCGCTAATTGCGTCTCGTGACAAAATAATTATTTTTTATTGTGAGCTGCCACCCACGTTCTGCGGCCACGGGGCTTTGCGCGTGTTGGGTATTTTTTCATGAGGAAGCGTCTGTAAAGGGACCCCGCTCCACAGAGACGCGTTCTGAACGCTGCGCACAAATACAGGCACAACCCTTTCCCTCAGCGCCGGCAGAACGTGTGTGCCCCAGTAGAGCGAGCGAGCGACTCTCGCTCCCAACGCTTCTTGTACAAGTAATTTTTTTCGTGACGTGTATGTCGGTGTGTGTGTGTAGGGGTAGCGGTAGTGTAGCAGGTAGCGCACTGTGCTCCAAACCCAACGACCCAAGTTCGATTCACGCTCACGGCCAACACCAGTGACGGTTATCTGAACCGGTCTTGGGCCTGCCCTAGCTCGACTCAGCCTCAAATGAGTACCTGTTGCTGTGTGTAAAAACATCGCCACTGGAGAGACAAAGGCGGTTGGGCGTGGTGCTGGCCACCCACCCCCTCGTGTGTCATGCCGGCCTTTATAGGTGCTCGCTAACAGCACTTGCCCCATCAGTCTGTTCAGGCTATACATGATATTTTTGTCTTGTGTGCAATGTTAATATCGGTTATTAAAGTCTAAAGCCTCCAGTGCAGAGCTTTACTCGTTAGAAATTGAACAATACATTGATAGCGTTTTAACTACAGGTTTCCCTCGCTCTGTGTGGGTTCGGCTTGTGTGATTTCACGCATATTCGGCTAACTTATTTCGACCCAAAATTCACAACGTGAAGCGGTTTGAATTCACTCCACATGCAGCTTTGCGGTCGGACGCGGGACAACTTTGTGTGTGTACTATGCTCGCTACTCGACAGGCTGCTGTCACGTGCGGTGCATTGTGAGTTCGGGTGACTGTGGGCTCCATTCTGCGCGAATTTGTTTCGTGCTCCCTATTTTTGGAACGCACCTACTCACGCATTAAGGGAGGGAAACCTGTAATATGTCTGTAAACTTGACGTTGTTGGATGGTGCATGAGATAATGGCAAGAATTTTGGAATAAGCCTAGCACATGGCCTAACCCAACAACAAATATGTGTGTGTATATGTGTATATATGTTTGTGTGTATGTGCGCACTGTAGAGGTGATGTAGTGGTTAGCGCACAGTGCTTCAAACCAGGCGACACCAGTTCGAATTCCAGCCACGGATGAAATCCGTGTTGAGTGATATCTGAAACATCCTGGACCTCCTCTAGGTTGACTCAGCCTTAAATGAGTACTGTACCTGCTGCTCTGTGTAAACATCAACACTGGGAAGACAACGGCAGCTGAGCATGGTGCTGGCCACACCACCCCCTCGTGCACTATACTGGCATTGATCGGTGCTTGCTAACAGCACTTGCCCCAACAGTCCATTAACGCCTGATGGGGGATCTTTGTCTTTGTATTACAGTTTGCTGGGATTCCTTTAGTTTAAGTGTAATCTATAATTATGCACGCAAACTTGTGTTCACGCGATGTTTCCAAAATAATGTTTTGTAACTTTGAACAAAAGAAATGAATTCCAAAAATAGTTTTCCTGCTTGAACGAAAAAGCCAAGAAATGGACGTTGTAGGAGGATGGCCAATTTCAGGAAGGTCGCGTTTTATGGCGCGTCACTCATCTAACAACGTCGGCTCCTTCCTTTTCCGTCCAGACGAAGACAAAAACAGGGTCTTAGAAGTATTGATCGTCGTTATTGTTCTCATTGTAGGCACTGAAAATGCAACACTTTCAGTTTCCAATAAAATATTGTAAATTACCATGACTTAAATGTTCACTCAATTGCACAGTGGCAGTCGGCGAGTGGTGCCACATGCACGAGCAAGACGGACGGACGCACGCACGACCCGGGTCACTCTCGTGAACGAGACTCTGTCCTGGTATCTCGAGTTCTCACCTGGTCAAACACTTGGTTAACGACCTGGTCAAACACTTGGTTAAAGACCTGATCAAACACTTGGTTAAAGATCTGGCCAAACACTTGATTAAAGACCTGATCAAACACTTGGTTTAAGACCTGGTCAAACACCTGGTTAAACACCTGGTCTCAATTACACCCAGGCACGTTTGCAGCAATTTAAACAGTTATACCGAAGCACAATTATATGAATTATACCTAAGCACAGTTACACCAATTATACCAAAGCACAATTATACCAATTGTAACAAAGCACAGTTATACCAGTTATACCGAAACCATGGTTGGAATGGTTGGCAGGCTGGACTAGAATGAAGAGGTTCACCGGTTCAATCTCCCAGCGCAGAAGGCGATAGGATGGACAAGTATCTTAAATCCTCCCCACTGTCCACCCAGCACAGTGACTGGGTACAACCACAGTTATTCAATCTGGAGTTCCGTTTGCAGTGGGGTAAAGTGTGAACACTCTCCCCTCTCCTAAGACATTTGGCCAGCGTGGAAGAGTAAGATGAATACCCTCCATTGGGGTCCTCTAGAGCTGCTTCTAACGTAGACCATTCCACCTGCAGCGCGTCACTGGCGCAAGGGCACCACGGTGTTGAGATGTTATCTCCCTCGCCTGGTTTGCAGGAGGTTGTGGGTTCGATCCCGACCCTGACGCCTGGGTCTCTCCCCGTGGTCGCATGCATTTTTCTCCGGGTCCTCCGGTTTTTCCCTCCACATTTAGAAACATACGTTTCGAGTATCTTGCTGCTATTAATTTCCACGTGATAAGCCACTTTGTTTAGCTTTAATTTCTGGCCAGGTCGCATGTGGAAAAGAGCTATATAACTGAGTGGGCCTTACTTGGTAAAATAAAAATAGTTTAGTTTCAGTTTAGTGAGACGAGCAAGCGACTGCAGGGCTGCACCTTTACATTTGTATATATTTGCGGTTACACCTACGCAGAACGATGCCTGCGCATGAATGGATGTGACGGCTTTTTGTACGGCGCGGATGCCGACCAGACACCAGGACGAGTGGTTCTGCTTGTGAGGTGTCAACGCGGCAGAGAAGAACTCCTGTGGAACGGCCGCACGGGGAGCTTTGCGCCCAGTCATAAAAAACGGGCGAGCGGGGCCGCTGACGGGAGTCGGCTTCCGTCGACCGCTCCTGTGCAATAGGCATGTCTCTCCACATGTCCTGCGCCGTGAATTCGGCACTATTTTTCCTTTTTTAAATCCTTTATATTAAGTTCACTTGCTTGCTTGCTTGCGCGCTTACGACCGTGCAAATCTTTCGGTCGTTCTTTAACCCACTTCCCGTGATCCAATCGAGCTGACATTTTGCACACAGACTCGTTGTGCGTGACAATTCATTTTCGTGAAATTTTTTTTCAAAAAGTTTACACTTTTTAGGAAAAAAATTTTTATATTTAATTACCAATTGCTTAATGGTGGCAGGCAATCATCTGACCCATACGTGACAGCCATCTCAAGCCAGAGGACGAGAGAACTCTAGCCGCCACGCATATAAAGGATTTATAGTGAAAAACTTTGTTTTTACGGGTTAATTT